TTCTTCCCCAACTTGGTTTCTTCTCTCTCCTCCAATTTTCTTCAACTCTAAACCTCTAAAAAGAAGATGTTTTAAAGATCTTTTCAAAGATTTCACCTCTCTTTCATTCATTCCACTTTGTCCTTGCTCGGTTTACCGCAAAGCGCAATATTTAAAAAAATGCGAGCGTCGGAACATCGTAGGAACATTTTCAAAAATATTTGATAGAGAGGGTTTTAAGATCTAAAATCTTTTTGGTCCAAAAAAAGAGGTGTGAGGTTTGGATTTGATGCTCTCCTTGCCAAAGAAACCAACCCTTGTACTGCACAACTTTCACCACCAAGTAAACCATCAGTAGTGCCCAAGTCTTAAGGGCGGTCAAAAATGGGGTGTCTACACCACCCACCACCACTAGCTACCCACCACCCACCGTCACCACTTTCCACCACTGTCTTCCGCCGCCACTTGCCATTTCTTACTCTTTTTTTATATTTTTAAATTTTTTTAAACATTTTATCAATTACCAAACGCGTTTGTAGTTTATGTTTTTCTAAAAATAAACAAAAATCAGTTTATAAAATTTTTGTTAATATAAACTGAAAACGTAAACGTTACCAAACACACCTAACACATTTGGATGAGTGAATTTGAGTTTAAAATTTAAAAAATGATAGCAAGCTTAATTATTGGAGGGTAGATTTATAATTCTTTTTTGTTTTTTTTAATTTTGTAGTTTTTTTTTTGGGAAAATTATTTATAAGTCCTATTAGGCAGACTTATGCTACATATGGTCCTACTAAAAAACTTATATTCCCATAAGTCCTGTGGGAAGTTTGTTGACACATTTACCTTCAATATTAGTTGTTAATATCATAAATAATAGTAAAATCATATATAGGAAATTGAATGTTACCAAAAATCATATCTATATAAACGTAACGTGACACCTACATAAACGTAACGTGACAACTTTCCTATATAGGAAATTGAATGTTACCATAGATCATATCTACATAAACGTAATGTAACGTGACACCTATGATCTATGGCAACATTCAATTTCCTATATAGGAAATTGAATGTTGCCATAGATCATATTTATATGAAACGTACTGTGACACCAACATAAACCAGCAATATTTTCATATTCAATTTAAAAAAATAAAAACTCATTAAGTTTGCGAAACGTAATGTGTACGTAACGTAACATCTATATAAACATAACGTGACACCTACATAAACGTAACGTAACACCTACATAAACGTAACGTAACGTGTCACGTTACGTTACGTTTATGTAGGATCTTGTGGAATACATTTCTATCCAAATAGGACTTGAGACTCTATAAGAAATTACGGATATGGGGACGTTGCTGCGCAGCCAGCACAACAGCGTCTGCTATGCGGCAATTTAAGCCCATTTCGGGGCCCATTTTGATAATCCGAACCATTCACATTTTAGAATACGTCAAGTAGAACATGCCTGCAAAAAATCAAGTTAATCGGATATCGTTTACGCATTCATCCACTCACATTTGTATCTACAAAAATAAATACAAATGTATTTTAGCTTGATTAAAATGGATACAAATGTGAATTGATGAATAGGTAAACGATATCCGATTAACTTAATTTTTTGCAGACATGTTCTACTTGACGTATTCTAAAATGTGAACAGTTTAGATTATCAAAATGGGCCCCAAAATGGGCTCAAATTGCCGCACAGCAGACGCTGCTGCGCAGGCTGCACAGCAGCGTCCCCATATCCAGAAATTACACAGGATTTAGCCTAACATAAGTGTCTGAAAATTGACTTATAAATAAGTCTCTCTTTTTTTTTTTTGTTGATTTTTTTAGTCTTTAGTAAATTTTCTACTCAACTAAATGGATGAGAAAAGTATAAAATTGTTAAAATATTGAAAAAAAGAAGAAGACCAAAAACATTAATTTTTTTTAACTTATTATTTTTTTTGAAAATTTTCAAAACTTTTTACATTTTAAATTTATCTACAGAAAACTAACTCGAACCGTAATATTCAAAAATTTGACATAATTTTAAAAAAAATTACTAAACACAAAAACAATGGAAAAAAAATTATATCTTTATTTAGATGTTCTAAACACTCACGCAGAGTGTATTTGATTCATGGATTTGGAAAGAAAAAGAAAAGATTTTCGGAAAATTTAGGTATATTTTGTTCACATTTCAAATTTCATCTATTATTTTTCTTTTTCTTTCCAAATCTTTGAACCAAATACAACTTAAGAGAATGTTACGATCACCTTCGTCGGCTCGCAACGCCTTAGAACTAATTTGAGTCTTTCGACCCGTTGTGGGCTTTGGTTACAGAAAAGAAAACAAAAAGAATTTAGAGAGAGAGAGGGAGCCTCGTTCGAGATAGGCTGGATCTCCAAGTTGACTAGTAATTAGCCTTTTCTGAATATATTTCCAAGCATAAACAATACATGACTCAATGACTCTTTAAATAGATATAGTTCCAGCAGATTTGTGATATGTGCATGATCCCATTTTCTAGGGACATGAACACTATACAACCCACGATAGACTCCACTAAACTAAAACAAAAACAGAACAACTAAAATAAAACAGAACAAAGATAATAATAATAATAAAGGACAGGTCGTGGGACAAGCCAATGCATGCACGTATCATCCCTCCCTGCTGAGAGCTTCCTTGTCCTCAAGGACAAAATCTGTGTACCGCAGTTTGAAGTCGGCCAAATCTTCCCATGTAGCCTCCACCGGCGAATGATTCTTCCAATGGATGAGCAGTTGCTTGCCAGTTGGCCGAACACGGGTTTCTAATATAGCTTGTGGCAGGACGGCCTGATCGGAAAGATCGATATAAGCTGGGCGCACGCTTTGAACCACAGCTTCAGGACCAATTTTCTTCTTGAGGAGTGAAACATGAAACACGGGATGAATTTTGCAATCAGTTGGCAAAGAGAGTTTGTAGGCCACATGACTGATTTTATGGATGATCTGATAAGGGCCAAAAAACTTGGGTGACAATTTCTGGTTGAACTGTTTGGATAGACTGGATTGCCGATATGGTTGTTTCTTCAAGTAAACCCAGTCACCGACGGAAAACTCAACCTCGCGATGCTTCAAATCATAAAGTTATTTCATTCGATTTTGGCTCAACTGTAACCGGTGACGAATCACCCGTAACATCTCATCCCGAGCTTGTAGAGCTTGGTCTGTGGCTTCAAGCTTAGTAGTGCCCGGAATATAAGTAAGTAGTGATGGAGGAGTTCGGCCATAGATTACTTCAAACGGTGTGGATTTAGTTGCACTATGGGAGGATGTGTTGTAGATGCACTCGATCCATGGCAGCCAAGTGGTCCATTCCTTAGGCCGATCTGAAGTGATACATCGCAAGTACATCTCCAGGGTACGGTTGACAACTTCCGTCTGACCATCCGTTTGAGGGTGGTATGCCGAACTAAAATTGAAATCAGTTACTTGTAGTTTGAAAAGGGTAGTCCAAAAAACACCTGTAAATGTAGGATCGCGATCGCAGACGATGCTTTCGGGCATGCCATGTAGCTTGAAAACGTTCTTAAAGGACCACTGTGATAGCAGTGTAGGGGTGTGCCAATGGCATGAAGTGGGCATATTTGGATAGGCGATCAACCACTACGAAAATAACCGTTTTGCCTTTGGATGGTGGTAGCCCGTCCACAAAATCCATTGAGATGTCGGCCCAAATTTGAGTTGGAATAGGCAGCGGGTGAAGGAGACCAGCAGGGGAGAGAGTTTGAGACTTGTGACGTTGGCAAGTGTCACAATTTTGAATGAAACTGCGCACAGTGCTTCGCATCCCTTTCCAATAAAAAACCGAGCGAACTCGTTGGAGAGTTTTATGGAAACCTTCGTGGGTGGTGGTGTGGAATTCCTTGATGATTTGAGGGATGAGTTCAGAAGTATGAAGCAGGTAAATCCGATCTTTGAAAAATAGGACGCCGTTGATATGCCGCCATGGACCCACGGCTTCACCATCATTGATCAACTTGATTAAGTGCTGTAGAGTAGGATCGGATGTAGTCTCCTCTTGGATAGGATGCAACCAGCTTGGAACCGGTTGTGAGAGAGCATACATATCACCATGATTTTGGCGAGAGAGAGCATCGGCAACTACATTATCAACTCCTTTTTTGTACTCAATGATGAAATCATACCCAATGAGTTTGGAGAGCCAACGTTCTGCGCGTCAGTGGAAATGCGTTGATCCCATAGATACTTGAGGCTCTTTTGATCGGTTTTGATGATGAAGGAGCGGCCAAGAAGATAGGGTCGCCACTTTTTGATGGCGAGAACAATAGCGAGCATCTCTTTGTCATAAGTGGAGAGCTCCAAGTTGCGTCCATGTAAGGCCTGACTGAAAAAGCAAGTGGCCTATTCTGCTGTTGTAAGACCGCACCAACTCCGGAACCACATGCATCACACTCGATCATGAATGGTTGAGAAAAATCGGGAAGAGCAAGCACTGGGGATGTGGTCATGGCGAGCTTCAGTTTTGCAAAAGCCTCCTCTGCAGTAGGTGTCCAAATGAAGTTATCCTTTTTGAGCATGTCGGTTAAGGGTCTGGCGATGCCACCGTAATTTTGAATGAATTTACGGTAGTACCCTGTAAGTCCCAAGAAACCCCGTAAAGATTTTAGAGTTGCGGGTTTCCGCCAACCTAGCATTGCTTGTATTTTTCCTTGGTCTACACTAACGCCCTCCTTGCTGATGATGTGGCCGAGATAGAGCACTTGTGATTGGCCAAAGGTACATTTTTCCCTTTTGACGAATAAGTGGTGAGCCCGCAAGGTAGTAAGTACCAAATCCAAGTGATGGACGTGGTCTTGCAAGGTACGGCTGTAGATCAAAATATCATCAAAAAATACCAATACAAATTTTCGCAAATAAGATTGGAATACCTCATTCATTAAAGATTGGAAAGTAGATGGAGCATTACTCAATCCGAATGGCATTACGAGAAATTCATAATGCCCTTAATGAGTACGAAATGCTGTTTTTTGCACGTCTTCCTGGCGGACCCGGATCTGGTGATATCCTGACCGCAGATCGAGTTTGGTGAAAAATTGAGAACCGTGGAGCTCGTCTAGTAACTCATCGATCACGGGAATGGGAAATTTATCTTTGATTGTGATTTTGTTTAAGGCGCGATAATCAATGCACATGCGCCATGATCCATCGTGTTTCTTCACCAATATGACCGGGGAAGAGTACGGACTATTGCTGGCGCGGATAATTCCTGTTGACAACATCTCTCTAATCAATTTTTCAATCTCATTTTTTTGGAAATGCGGGTATCGATACGGTCGAACATTAACTGGTGCACTACCCGGTAATAGAGGTATGCTGTGGTCTTGGCTTCTTTGTGGAGGTAGATCGATGGGTTTTTCAAAAATATCAGGGAATGCCTTCAAAAGAGACTGAATGCGTGGATCAGGAGTAGTGGACTGAGTGGTTGGCAGCGCTCTATTCATGGCATGCAATTGGAGGACCAGACATTCCTTACGCCGGCGATACTCTCGATGTATATTTGTCTCATTTACAAATTTAGGACTAGGATTAGATAGCCCCTGCAAGAATACCTTTTTTTCTCCTAGTTCGAACTGCATCTGGAGCTTTGAAAAATCCCACAAAATTGGGCCCAACGTCTGCAGCCATTGTGTACCCAAGACCAACTCATAACCCTCTAAGGGCAATAGGTAGAAGTCCACAGTGAGTGGGACTCCTTGAAGACTTATGGGCACCTCCCTGCATTTTCCGGCGCTAGACAACCTTTCGCCGCTCGCAACTTGGACCTCCAACCTGCCACACAAGTCGGGTTTTAAACCCACTTTTGTCGCTAACTCTTCCTTAAGAAAATTGTGCGTGCTTCCGGAGTCCACGAGGACTGTGGCTAAATGGTTAAGAATCTTTCCCAAGACCCGCATGGTTTGAGGAGCATGAATGCCAGACATGGCATGAAGAGAGATGGCTGGTGGGTCCTCATGGTGTTCGCTTTCATTTGGATGCTCGTTAGAGTGCTCGTCAGGTTCCACATCCATATCTTCATCAGGCCAGCAAGCCTCCATGATAAACAATTTCTTGCATACATGACGGGGTCCGTACTTGTCGTTACAATGGAAACACAACCCTTTCTGCTCGCGTTCCTCGATTTCTGTTGGTGAGAACCTCCGAATTTGCGGAATAGGGGACGTGGATATTGTGCTGTGTTCTTGGCCCTTATTGACAAACAAAGGTGGTTGATTCAAGTTGGATGGCCTTCGGTTGGCGGCCATGACCCTTGCTTCATAAAGCCTAGCAAGGCCGACGGCAGCAGATAGAGAGGGAGGCCGAGAGGCCTGCACCTCCACTCGAATGGACTCCTTAAGTCCACTGGTAAAGCACCCAATTTGCTGCTGTGGTGTAAGAGAACCTGCTCGGGTTAATAATCTTTCAAACTGAGTTTGATACTCACGAACACTTCCTCGTTGTTGTAGTTTGGTAAGATCGCCAAAAAAATCCTCAAACTGTGTAGGGCCGAAGCGAGCTTGGAGCTCGGCTTTAAGTGTGGTCCACGTATAAATTCGTTCCTCCTTCTTGGCAATTTGATACCAAAGTTGTGCATCGCCATCTAAATGGTATGCTGCGAGGGTCACTTGGTCGTTGGCTTGGATTTGTTGGAATTCAAAGAACTGTTCCGAACGGAAAATCCAACTCGTAGGGTCGTTGCTGCCATCATACCTAGGAAAGTCCAATTTGGTGAGTCGTGGCATAATCGAGCGGTTTTCGGAGGGCCTGTTCTGACCAAAAGAATGGCCAGTGGAAGTTTCACCTTGATCATCTTTTCTAGAGGCCGTAAGTTGGTCGAAGCGGGCATGTAAGGCCGCAAACATTTCTTGAATTTCGAGATGACCGCGTTCTTGGGAGGCAGAGAGGTTACTGATTTCCGCCTTAAGGTGATTAATCCGATCGTCGGACATACCTGGCTCTGATACCAAAATGTTACGATCACCTTCGTCGGCTCGCAACGCCTTAGAACTAATTCGAGTCTTTCGACCCGTTGTGGGCTTTGGTTACAGAAAAGAAAACAAAAAGAATTTAGAGAGAGAGAGGGAGCCTCGTTCGAGATAGGCTGGATCTCCAAGTTGACTAGTAATTAGCCTTTTCTGAATATATTTCCAAGCATAAAACAATACATGACTCAATTGACTCTTTAAATAGATATAGTTCCAGCAGATTTGTGATATGTGCATGATCCCATTTTCTAGGGACATGAACACTATACAACCCACGACAGACTCCACTAAACTAAAACAAAAACAGAACAACTAAAATAAAACAGAACAAAGATAATAATAATAATAAAGGACAGGTCGTGGGACACGCCAATGCATGCACGTATCATGTTTCTCCATGAAGAACTACCTTCAAATAAATAAGTAACAATAATAATAGTAGCAAAAGCATTAACCATAAAAACAATTAAAAAGAAAAGAGAAGGAAGGAGTAAAATCCGGAGGAACTGAGTTACCAGTTTGTTTGATCATATTCTCATCAATCATGCAGTGGAAGTGATTCCAGCTATTCCACCTATAATTAAGACAGACAGAGAAAGTGAGAATGTTTGGTTTTTTAGGCCCCACTCCCACTAATATTTCTTAAAATATTTGTCCCTAAGAAGTTAGCACATAACATAATCTCATTGGATCATCTTTTTCTTGTGGAGAGAGAGAGAGAGAGAGAGAGAGAGAGAGAGAGAGAGAGAGAGAGAGAGAGAGAGAGAGAGATAGACAGACATCGATAGGATCAGCTTAAAATTATATATTAATATATTTTTATAAAAATAATTATAAATTGATTAAAAAATTATCAATATTAATGATTAATATTATAAAATTTTCAGTAATTAAAATTTTGAAATAATCTGATTGTAATTTTCCCTTATTGTAAAGATTCGAATGTATAATTTTCTTAGAACAATGCTACAGACCCTCAGTGGGGTCCGACCTCAAGTGACATGGCGCGACCTCATTGGCTGAAAAAAAAAAAAACAAATTTTTTTTCCGCCCAATCAAAACCGTACACGCACGACCCCAACACCCCACTGAGGTCGGAGGCATTTTCCAATTTTCTTACTACACAGAATAGTAGTCTAGCTAAATGTTTGTTTTTTCAATCCTTCGACAGTGAACCGTATGAAGCCACGTCGATGCCTAGTTTTTTTTTTTTTTTTGGGGCAAATAATTGCCTCTTGATTGTAACGACAATGATTATTGGTCAACTTTGTTGTTAAAGGCCATTATTAGGAACCACAAAAGTTGGCTTAGTTGGTGCAGATTGGGGTTCGAGGTGCTCTCTCTAATCTCATATTTAAGTCTTAGATTCAATTTTCATTATGCCTTTATTTAGAAAGTTGGCTATTTTAATATGTTAGTTTAGTTTTTGATTATTTTAGTAAGTTAAAATATTTATGTTTGAGAAGATAGTGAGATTTTTTTATAATTGGATGTGATGTTTATGAAAGAAAAATTAAAATGATTATGAATTTGATGTAATATTTTATGTTATTGACTATTTTAACTTATTTTGTCTTCTTTTAGATTAGACCAAAAAGTAAAAAATGACCTTTGCCAAACAAAGCCTATGTATTATCAATTTTTTGAGATGATGTCCACATACTCTTTTCAAGATTTTTTTGATCCACATAAAAATATCACTTTACGTGAATTTCAAAATTAATTATAGTACACGAAAATTGATCTAAATACTTTGTTATAATAAAAACAAAATCCATTACCAGGTTGATTTGGTGTTACCGATTTCACCTTTTTTTATTCTCCTTCTTTTTGTTGGAAAATTGGTTTTATCAGGCTTATTTTGGAATAATTTTGAGTCTAAAATTGAATAGGTCCCAAACGTCTTTTGCAGTGAGTTCGAAGAGGTGACGTGTTTCTTGCCGCATGGCAAATCACACGGTGAAGACGGTTCGTCAAAACCATTTATGAGTGAATGAGAACTTGACATCGTTTTCGGGTTTGTGAAATGGACATTTAAAGAATTAAATGTGGATTTCTTTAAAATGGGTTGTCCTACATTAAAACTTTAAGAGATTTTTTGTGTGTATATAAGCTCTAGACTACAACACTTGGGTTGGGCCCCAAGGGGCATCTCAAGTTTGTAGAAGAGATGAGTTATGAACAAATGGAACCTTGACCCAAACCACCACGTGCGCGCGCCGCCGTCCGACCGGCTGGCCGAGCCTTGCAGTGCGCGGGTGTGGGTCAGGTCTTGTATTAATTTTTTGAACAAAATTCATTTGAATTATTGCGAGAATTTAATTCAAATTTGAATTTAAATTTTTTTCCAAACAAATCTTCTCCAGTCTTATATTCCTAACAGATTTAAACTGTTTTGAATAGTGTTATAACTGCCCAGCAGTTACAGATCTATAACTTTCGAACAGATTCAAAACTTGGCTGCAAATCTGTTTGAATTCAAAACAGCATATGTTCAAATCTGTTTCATACATGTTCGGTTCTTTCTGCACCTATTCGGACAGGTTTATTTGCCTATAAATACCAGCCACTTTTCAGCAGTCTTGATGAAAAAATATATTTTGCTGTCCAGATTTTGTTCCTTTGCATATATAATCTTCATTCTAGTTTTAGAGAAAATTAAAGAGAGTATAGAACACAATGTTCTAGTTCGCCGGACAAATTTGTTTGGAGTGCTACTACAAATTTGTGAAGATCATCGTATCCTGGAAGATAGAACTCATTAGACCGTAAGCACCGTAGCGGGGCAAATCTGTCTTAAGGACAGAGTGTCACACACTGGACTTGGTCTTTTGTTTTTCATCCAATTCGATAAAATAATTATGTAAGTTATTTATTTTATTTTGTTTGATTTAATTTCAATTTATTTTATTTACACAGAAGATTGTTCAAATTAAGGGTGTTCGCGGATCGGTTTTGTGCAGTTTGTGGTTCGGTTTTGACCCGTCCGCATCTATGCGGTTTTGGAAAAAGTCAACTCGCAACCGCTCGCAGTGCGGTTTGTGCGGATAGGGTTTGCAGATATGCGGGCGGTAGCGGGCGGTTTGCGGTTTACACTATTTTCTTTAAAAATTAATTTTTGAGTATTTTTTCCCATCGAATTTAGACATCAGATTCATTTTATATATTTGTGATCATTTGACAACAATTTTCTGATGAGTTTATAAATAAAAATTGAATATCAATGCATTAAATGAAAGTACCCAAAATAAAGAGACCCTACACTAGCATTTTGGCCATGAAAAAAATGTATATCAATGCATTAAAAGTTGTACTCAATTAGAATTGTCAGTTCAGTAATCAATAATCAAACTAGAAGTTCTATCGACCATAAGAAGGAAAATTTTATTAGGAAAAAGTGGATGAGTCATAAATGAAAATCATATAAGAAACCAAGTTTAGGACTTAATAATTCTACGGCATTAAGAAAGTTGATAAATATTTAAAAATAAGGATCCTAGTGTCATAGAGAATATAATAGTGCTCATGTTAAAGTTACAAAGTTGGTATATAAAAAAAAAAAAATAATAATAATTAAAGTGTGGGCGGTTTTTGCGGGTTACGGGTTTAACCCACGACCCGCTCGCAACTCGTAAATTTGTCATATTTCAAGCCGCATCTGCCCGCATTATGTTTGCGAAACCGTCCATTTATATACGGGTTGGGCAAATTGGACGGTTTGAGCGATTCGGATAAACCGTTGCCCACCCCTAATTCCAACACTTCTACTCCTTCTAATTTTATTATTTTATTATTTTATTTTTTTGTGTCGCAGTTTAAATTTTACAAGAATTTGTGGGAGTTGTTGACTTATAAGGTTTAACACAAGTCTTTTCACTAATTTGAATAATAATATATTTTGGAAGACATTTCATGTATATTATTTATGAAAAAATTAAGTCGATCTGATAATCATAATATTTTTATTTATTGTACTTTGTCTCCACATAAATGAATGATTTTTTAAAATATCTTTGTCTGTTTAAACAAAAAAATATTTTTATAATATTATACAATATGTACCCTTAAAAAATATATTATATCACAATGTACGTAATATAATTACAATATTCCATAATAAATATCACAATATATTGTAATTTGTCACACCAAAATGTGTTGTTTGTTGGTGGAATTGAGGTCTATAATGGTTTTAACAAATCTGTTTGTTTATCATCATTATCATCAAGATTTGATTGTTTATCTGGGTTTAAAATGGCTATGAGGCAATTGAATTTGGGGTTTTCAATCTGTGTAAACTATTGAGGCAATTGGATTTGTGTTTTTATCAACACCCCGAACATCTCAGGAGGGACCAATTTGAGCTGTGAAAACATAACAAACAGGCACAGGGACTCCCGATTTGAAAACAAGGTCGGAAAACTAAGTTGTGAATCATGTAACAGTCGCAACAAGGGCCGGGAGCACCTCAAACACCTCGGGAGTGACAGACGCGAGTTGTGAAAGCTTACGGAACTAGCACGGGGACTCTCGGTTTGAAAACTAAGTTGGAAAGGGATAGTTTTTCCACGCTTAGGCTTGGAAATAGGACACCGGGGGGGAGGCCAAAACGTGTCACAGTCGCGAGAAGGACCGATAAATGCCCAAAACACCTCGGGAGGATCCAAGAGGTAAGCTACGGAGACTTACGGAACTAGCACGGGACTCTCGGCTTGAGAACTAAATCAAAAAATGCACTTTTTTCACACTTCAGCTTGAAAATAAGCCGTCGGGGGCCAAAATCGTGTAACAGTCACGAGAAGGCCCAGGGAACACGTCAAACACCCCGGTAGGGACCGATGTAAGTTGTGAAAACTTACGGAACTAGCACGGGACTCCCGGTTTGGAAACTAAGTCCTAAACGGCACATTTCTCGCACCTAATCCTGAAAATAGTGCATCGGGGGGCCAAAATCGGGTGACAGCCAAGAGAAGGTCTGGGGAACACCTCAAAACACCTAGGGAGGGACAAACGTGAGTTGTGCAAACTAACGAAACTCGCACGGGACACCCGGCTTGGAAACTAAGTCAAAAAATGCACTTCCTAAACACTTAAGTTTGAAAATAGGCCATCGGGGCCCAAAAAAATCCTGTAACAGTCTTGAGAAGGCCCGTGGGACACCACCAACACCTCAAGAGAAACCAATGTAAGTTATGGAAACTAGCGCGGGACTTCCGGTTTGAAAACTAGGTCAGAAAATGAACTTTTCTCACACTGAAGGTTGAAAACCGGCCTCGGCGGGCCGGAATCGTGTAACAATCACGAGAAGGCCCGGGGAACATTCCGAACATCTCAGGAGGGCCCAATTTAAGCCGTGAAAACATAACGAACAGGCACGGGGACTCCCGATTTGAAAACTAGGACGGAAAACACACTTTTCGAACACTTAAGCTTGGAAGTAGGACGCAGGGGGGCCAAAACCAAGTCACAGTCGCGAAAAGGACCGGGAAATGCCCCAAACACCTTGGGAGGGTCCAAGAGGTAAGTTGCGGAGACTTACGGAACTAGCACGGGACACTCGGCTTGAGAACTAAATCAAAAAATGCACTTTTTTCACACTTAAGCTCGAAAATAAGCCGTCGGGGGCCAAAATCGTGTAACAATAACGAGAAAGCCCAGGGAACACGTCAAACACCCCGGGAGGGACCGATGTAAGTTGTGAAAACTTACGGAACTAGCACGGGACTCCCGGTTTGTAAACTAAGTCCGAAACGGCACTTTTCTCGCATCTAAGCTTGAAAATAGTCCATCGGGTGACAGCCAAGAGAAGGTGTGGGGAACACCTCAAAACACCTAGGGAGGGACCAACGTGAGCTGTGAAAACTTACGGAACTCGCATGGGACTCACGGTTTGGAAACTAAGTCGAAAAATGCACTTCTTAAACACTTAAGTTTGAAAATAGGCAATCGGGGCCCAAAAAAATCCGACAACAGTCCCGAGAAGGCCCGTGGATCACCTCCAACACATCGAGAGAAAACAACGTAAGTTGTGGAAACTAGTGCGGGACTTCTGGTTTGAAAACTAGGTCGGAAAAGGTACTTTATTCGCAGTGAAGCTTGAAAACAGGCCTCGGCGGGCCGGAATCGTGTAACAATCACGAGAAGGCCCGGGGAACACCCCGAACATCTCAGGAGGGACCAATTTGAGCCGTGAAAACATAACGAACAGGCACGAGGACTCCTGATTTGAAAACTAGGTCGGAAAACACACTTTTCTAACACTTAAGCTTGGAAGTAGGCCATCGGGGGCCTAAAATCATGTAACAGTCGCAACAAGGGCCGGGAGCACCTCAAACACCTCGGGAGTGACAGACGCGAGTTGTGAAAGCTTACGGAACTAGCACGGGGACTCCCGGTTTAAAAACTAAGTCGGAAAGGGACAGTTTTTCCACGCTTAGGCTTGGAAATAGGACACAGGGAGGGAGGCCAAAAACGTGTCACAGTCGCGAGAAGGACCGAGAAATGCCCAAAACACCTCGGGAGGGTCCAAGAGGTAAGCTGCGGAGACTTACGGAACTAGCACGGGACTCTCGGCTTGAGAACTAAATCAAAAAATGCACTTTTTTCACACTTAAGCTCGAAAATAAGCCGTCGGGGGCCAAAATCGTGTAACAGTCACGAGAAGGCCCGGGAAACACGTCACACACCCCGGAAGGGACCGATGTAAGTTGTGAAAACTTACGGAACTAGCACGGGACTCCCGGTTTGGAAACTAACTCCGAAACGGCACTTTTCTCGCACCTAAGCTTGAAAATAGTGCATCGGGTGGGCCAAAATCGGGTGACAGCCAAGAGAAGGTCCGGGAAACACCTTAAAACACCTAGGGATGGACAAACATGGGTTGTGGAAACTAACGAAACTCGCATGGGACTCCCGGTTTGGAAACTTAGTCAAAAAATGCACTTCCTAAAAACTTGAGTTTGAAAATAGCCCATCGGGCGCCAAAAAAATCCTGTACCAGTCCCGAGAAGGCCCGTGGAACACCTCCAACACCTCGAGAGAAACCAAAGTACGTTGTGGAAACTAGCGCGGGACTTCCGGTTTGAAAACTAGGTCAGAAAATGTACTTTTTTCACACTGAAGCTTGAAAACAGGCCTCGTCGGGCCGGAATCGCGTAACAATCACGAGAAGGCCTGGGGAATACCCCAAACATCTCAGGAGGGACCAATGTGAGCCGTGAAAGCATAACAAACAGGCACGGGGACTCTCGATTTGAAAACTAGGTCGGAAAACACTCTTTTCTAACACTTAAGCTTGGAAGTAGGCTATCGGGGGCCTAAAATCATGTAACAGTCGCAACAAGGGCCGGGAGCACCTCAAACACCTCGGGAGTGACAGACGCGAGTCGTGAAAGCTTACGGAACTAGCACGGGGACTCCCGGTTTGAAAACTAAGTTGGAAAGGGACAGTTTTTCCACGCTTAGGCTTGGAAATAGGACACCGGAGAGGAGACCAAAAACATGTCACAGCCGCGAGAAGGACCGAGAAATACCCAAAACACCTCGGGAAGGTCCAATAGTTATGTTGCGGCGACTTACGGAACTAGCACGGGACTCACGGCTTGAGAACTAAACCAAAAAATGCACTTTTTTCACACTTAAGCTCGAAAATAAGCCGTCGGGGGCCAAAATCGTGTAACAGTCACGAGAAGGCCCGGGGAACACGTCAAACACCCTGGGAGGGGACCGATGTAAGTCATGAAAACTTACGGAACTAGCACGAGACTCCCGGTTTGGAAACTAAGCCCGAAATGGCACTTTTCTCTCACCTAAGCTTGAAAATAGTGCATCGGGGGGGCCAAAATCGGGTAACAGCCAAGAAAAGGTCCGGAGAACACCTCAAAACACCTAGGGAAGGACCAACGTGAGCTGTGGAAACTTACAGAACTCGCATGGGACTCCCGGTTTGGAAACTAAGTCAAAAAATGCACTTCCTAAACACTCAAAGTTTTAAAATAGGCCATTGGGGGCCAAAAAAATCCTGTAACAGTCCCGAGAAGACCCGTGGAACACCTCCAACACCTCCGGAGAAACCAATGTAAGTTGTGAAAACTTACGCGGAACTAGCAGTTTGAAAACTAGGTTGGAAAAGGTACTTTTTTCACACTGAAACTTGAAAACAGGCCTCGACAGGCCGAAATCGTGTAACAATCACGAGAAGGCCCGGGGAACACCCCGAACATCTCAGGAGGGACCAATTTGAGCCGTGAAAACATAACGAACAGGCACGGGGACTCCCGATATAAAAACTAGGTCGGAAAACACACTTTTCTAACAATTAAGCTTGGAAGTAGGCCATCGGGGGGCCAAAATCATGTAACAGTCGCAACAAGGGCCGGGAACACCTCAAACACCTCGGGAGTGACAGGCTATGAAAACTTACGGAACGGAACTAGCACGGGGACTCCCGGTTTGAAAACTAAGTTGGAAAGAGACACTTTTTCCACACTTAGGCTTGGAAATAGGACACCGAGAGGGGGCCAAAACCGTGTCACAGTCACGAGAAAGACCGGGAAATGCCCCAAACACCTCGGGAGGGTCCAAGAGGTAAGTTGCGGAGACTTACTGAACTAGCACGGGACTCTCGGCATGTGAATTAAATCAAAAAGTGCACTTTTTCACACTTAAGCTCGAAAATAAACCGTCGGGGGCCAAAATTGTGTAACAGTCATGAGAAGGCCGGGGAAACACGTCAAACACCCCGGGAGGGACTGATGTAAGTTGTGAAAACTTACGGAACTAGCACGGGACTCCCGGTTTGGAAACTAAGTCTGAAACGGCACTTTTCTCGTAGCTAAGCTTGAAAATAGTCCATCGAGGGGGCCAAAATCGAGTGACAGCCAAGAGAAGGTCCGGGGAACACCTCAAAACACCTAGGGAGGGACCAACGTGAGTTGTGAAAACTTACGAAACTCGCATGGGTCTCCCGGTTTGGAAACTAAGTCAAAAAAAGCACTTCCTAAACACTCAAATTTGAAAATAGGCCATCGGGGGCCAAAAAAATCCTATAACAGTCCCGAAAAGGCCCGTGAAACACCTCCAACACCTCGGGAGAAACCAATGTAAGTTGTGGTAACTTACGGATCTAGCGCGGGACTTCCGGTGTGAAAACTAGGTCGGAAAAGGTACTTTTTTCACACTGAAGCTTGAAAACAGGTATCGGCGGGCCGGAATCGTGTAACAATCACGAGAAGGCCTGGGGAACACCTCGAACATCTCAGGAGGGACCAATTTGAGTTGTGAAAACTTAACGAACAGGCACGGGGACTCCCGATTTCAAAACTAGGTCGGAAAACACACTTTTCTAACACTTAAGTACGAGCCCTCTATCAATATACGCAAGTAGAGAGATACATACATACTTATTTAGTATAAAGAAGGAAGAGCCCTCTATCAGTGTAGGTAGCAAAGAATAGAGACATGAATGTGAGTTGTGACCTATCGTTGATTATGTTATTAATGGTGGTTAATTGGAGATAATAGGATGGTGATATAATGGTAGTTCACCTAGATGGACGGATATTTTGGAGGCTGTCGAAAACACACATACAATTTGGTTTGCTTGCTATGCTTTTGATTCACTTTGTCTGGTGGAAGGAGGGAGAGAGAGAGAGAGAGAGAGAGAGAGAGAGAGAGAGAGAGAACTAATCCATAATGTTCAGATTAATTAAGTGCTTTCTTGTACATCACCAACACACCTTATTGAACCAATTATAACTTTCTAATTTGAACCAAATCTAATTAAGCCAAGCACACGTATCTTGCCTCAACCCCAAATTATTTAACGCCTAACCCCAATTCCAGGCTGAACAAGCAGGCTCTGTGCCAGCTCCAGCTCATTATGGTCCTAAAGCTATAACAAGTGGATGAGAAGGAGAAGTGCTTCTAAAGCAGTCATGTAATTGGATAGGAATTTATGGAAAATCTCCATAAGACTGCTGCATGGCATATGCTATACCGTACAAAATGTTGGATGACAATAAAAAGCAAATGTAAAAATGAGGATATAGACACAGACACAGACAGGAGGGCGGCACAACAATAAGAAATGACTACATTTCTCAAAAGCTACAAGTAGCACGAAGCATAGACAATATGAGGTGCTACATTTCTCTAGAGCTACAAGTAACATGAAGCATAGACAATATGAGGTGAAGGAGCACAGGATGGTTTAAGAGTAGCAACGAAGGGATAAAATATTGTCAAGAAGGAATAACAGAAACTAAGTTATAGGTGCCACAAAGACAGAAGAAAAACACACACAAAAAAAAAAGAGAATTGAGACCATGAGAAAGGACATAGTTATTCTAAAATTGAAAAAAATATATATGTATATATATATATATGTAAGTATGTGTGTGTACTCTAAGAACAACCATACGCAAGAGGAACCATGTTGCCAACCTCAACCCAAGTAACCATGATTAGTCTGAGTTCAGTACATTGGAGTATAAGAAACATCTGAACTATCAATAATACAAAAGTGCTAGAAACACTTAAAAAAAAAATATCAACAGAGCGCTTGTACATAGGTCCCACCACTTGGTATGGGATTCACCAAATATTTTGTCTAGTTGGTATGCTTGTTAGTTGTCCTAACATTTTTGTCAATAATTAAGTAACAGAGATTATATGCTATAAACCATGGAACTATTCCTTGAAAATAAACCAAATATTACAAATAGCATGTGGAATACTTAATATAAGAACAGCCCTTCAGACCTCCAAATGACACGCTGCTTCCATATTGTCAATTGGAACACTTTAAAATTTTCCAAGTCAAACCACACTAGAACCAAGACAACTCCATTTGTGGCATTTGGTTAAAGTGGATCTACTTCAAATTAAACAAAAAGTTAGCTTTTTTCAGAAAAACATCCAATCATGCCTCTTAGCTTATTGGTTGTTTTGGGCCCACTGATACTTGCATTGAATTTATCAACAACAAAAAAAGAATTTATCAACAAAAAAAAATAAAAAAAAAATACTTGCATTGTTGTATATTAACTTTAAAACTTGGCCCCTGGCAAAAGTTATAATCCTATATGTGACCCAATTGTAGCACTTTTTAAACGACCTTTGCCTAACACATTCCCAGCTAATTTTGTCAGCGTACCTAAATAAGCACCTTCAAATAGGTCTAGCAACCCCAAACGGACCCTCAAAGACAGTTCTAGATAAAAAATTTCAAGTTTCGATACTTGTTGCCTGCTTATCTAATACCTGTGAACTCGCATAACCCAACCATCTAAATAAGGGGAACCAACAGGTCAGTTATTCCGCTGAACCTTTCTATATACCAAATCCACATCGTTAATTTTCTTAAAGCATCAGATAGTTCTAGAATATAGCAAAAAGCAGACAATCATACATTGATAAAGAAATAAAACCATTTTGTAATGTAGTTCTGGTGTTTAAATTTGTAGCACATTTCTGATAATTTCAATTGTACGGCATCTGTATTACATAAGGCTGCAGTCCTGAATTTTACTTCTGCCTAAGAATTGCAAACTAGTTTCAATTGGTGTAGTAAAGCTTATCTAAAGGACCATCTAAAGTTGTGAAGCAAAGATTTTGTCACATGACATATATGAAACTAAATCAATCATCCTCAATACAAATTATCGTGACAAACATATATACATATTCCATTAATTGGGACTGAAGTGGTGTACTTTAAAGGGGACGATTGGTTTAGTGGTTTTAAATTCAGGCCTAATAACCTTGAAGTAGTGAGTGTGAATACAAGGCAGCTACTTTGTACATAATGATTAAAGGTCAGCTCTGTGCCTAGAACCCCATTAATAGGAACTAAACTATGTGTATTTCTATATATAAATATATATATATATATATACCTTTATTGATCACTTCATTATAAGATCAAAATCAAAACTCAAGAGAATTGCTTACCTCTTCTAACACCAAATTGATCCAAGAATGGCCCAGATTGCCTAACTAAAAATGCCAAAAGTTTTGGTACATCGAGCGGTGGAACTTCCTACATCATATATATAAGAAAAGCAGAAGAAAAGAAAACATTCAGCATAGTGTATTATAGATTGTAGGAAACTAGAATCATCAATATATCCAATCTATGACAAATGTCAATCAATCCTAAGGAACAAACATACTACACCACCACATAAGAAATTTTGACTATGCCTATTGGTCTGTAATTAAACCTAGGCCTGAGGTTCAGGCATCTACGTACGTGAGATGTTAGAATGTGATAAATACTGCAACATGATTACAAAATGGTGTTTAACACAACCACCTTGATAAAAGAAGAAGAAGAAGAAGAAGAAGAAGAAGAAGAAGAATGGCATTCATGTCCAATACAAACACCACATTGCAAAAAAATTTGTTTTCCCTGAAGAATGAAACACAATGCTAGCCTTTCAGTATGCACAACTACAGCAACATGAACTCCAACAGGACATGACCCTCCCAATTAATAAGTACAAACCACATATCATCCAACTAACAACTCAAACATAGGATGTAGGAAAAGGATTACAATAAACGTTGGAATCATAAGATTCATATTATTGACGGCTGAGAAAACAACTTCCAGTCAACAGTACTTATATGACTATTACGTCATTTTTGAAACAACTCTCCATTTTTTAGAAAATAAATAAATATAGATATATATTAAATAAAATTCAATATTTTATCTCCTTTTCTTCCCCTAGTGCCTTCAGAAAGAAAATATAGATTATAGACTCAAAAAAAAAAAGTTCTAAAAAAATTAACACAATAATGAATGATACATGAAGAGGAGTAGTTCAATACTAACCTTTGAATCAGTTGGGTCCTTGCAAATTGCTTTCTGCAAAATAAATAATTGGGTAACAGATTAATAACGAACATATGAATCCAGCTTGCAATTCTAACGTGAAATGAAAAATAAGTAGATACGCATCAATTACTAACAAAGATAATGATCAGGAAATTCTATCATCTAGAAACAAGTTTATACATTATTACCAAGCATTCACTTCCAATATTGGAATGAATCAAAACACATGTTATAGTTAGCAGCAACATTCGCACTAATCTTATGTTTACGGCCTTCCTTTTAATGAAAAAATGTTTATGCCTTAGCACATAACTAGTTCCTTGCTTACCTTCAATGGACATGGTATGCCACTTGATGCATAAATATTTGATCCCAAATAATAGCCGGCCTCGAAAGAACATAACAAGAGTACAAGACTGACAATGTATGAAACTTAATAGTCAAAACTACTGCATTTACTGCCATGCCAAAAAATCTCAATTCAAATGATAATGGATCTGCAATGTTGACTTTCAGAAAACAACTAGTTGCGTCTCTCAAAAACAGAAGGAGTGATAAAGAGTAGTAAAAACATTTTTACGCAGTTTGAACAGGGTGACAAGAGAAGTAAAAACATTTTTACGTAGTTTAATTTAAACAGGAAGATCCAACCTTGTGAGATCATTCCCTGTTGAATAAACCATGTTGGGAACTTTTAGAGATCCATACTTAGGTGATATACGTCCCAATGTCCCGTATTAACTTGCATGGACCAAGGATGGAAGAATAAACAGCAATCTACAACTTTAAGATCACTTTTTATAGAAAATCGTAAAAGGCAATGAGTCTCATGAAGAGCCAACAAAAAATATACATAGTTTTGTAAATAAGAAAAATCCAAAAGAGCTTCAACAGGGTGCAAACCGGAGTACATGCAGAGAAGCAAAAATGACACAAAAAATATCTTTAGAATTAACCAAAAAAGTCCAATGATTGCAGCAAACCACTATAGGCCACACAAATAAACTGCTTAAAAGAAGGGAAAAAAATGCTTCCATGGTCACAAACACCTCACTCCTTGAAATGAAGTCCTATACCTCTCCTTCCATAGACAACAAAAGAGGCATTAAGGACACACTTCTTAAACTGCATCCTCACTTGCTCACTCTAGACCAGCAACTGGAGTCCAAGAACTCTTAACACAAACTTTGGCATAAAACACGCCATCTGACAGAGGCAAAATGTAGCACGGACACGGACACGGGACATGACATGGACACGACACGGACACTCCATTCTTACATTGTGCCAATCTAACATGTATCGCCCTTAATACCAGCCATGCTTTGCCGTGGAAAAACTCATCGCAGCCACTCTATGGGAACATTTACTCTAGTGAAAGTTTCCTGCAGTTGAAATGCAAAATGTCATGCTTTTTGGTAACTATACAGTGCCATTCCTAGGAAACAAAATCTACGTATATCCCAAATTTTAGTTGACTTGTATAAATCTTTCTTAGCCAGGCTTAAAATATAACCCTAATAAGCCCTCACCTATAAACAGGGTTTTATTTCACATCTTATGGTCAAACGACTATTGCAGTAACATTTCAAATAAAAAATTAATTTGACAATGCTAAAGATCTAGTGATTCAAATAAAGTGCTAATGCTTCACACTTAAAATGTTGTTTGGCACTTCAAATAAAGTGCAATCAATATAATAATCAATTAGACACGCAAAAGGATTCCCTTTTTCTTTTCTTTTTTCCTTCTTCCTGTCGAAAATCAAAACGGACAAAAACCACAGGACCCCGTAGCCAACCAATTCACCATTAGTAAGGGGAAAAAAAAAAAAAGAAACAACCCAACCCTAACCCAGTTCATATGCCTTAGGTGTTGAATCCTAAAACTTGTTAGCGTGTTTCTTATACCACTGGAAATCGGTGATGTTTGTTCCTGAATGGTTGGTAGAGTATCAAGCATCCATGATACTCTGTGAATTCGCCACAAATTAAACGCGATCCACCATTGACTAGGAAATCACCAAAACAAACTTGAAATGTATTAAAGTGATGTAAAACGCATATTAATCAATTGATAGTGCAAGCGAATATGGATGCTTCTCTTATTTGACAAATTTATTTTGGTTACAACTAGTTTAATTCTCCTCCCGTACGAAATTGCTGGTCCATTTTAACTATTCCAAACATCCCAAAAAAATCATCTATGTTTTTTTATTTATTCTTTCTTTCAATTTGTAGGGGAAAAAATACATTATTTATTGACCCTACTAAAAGGCATGAATGCTGAAAATTGACAAACAGTTGGGGATGGAACGAGTATTTATAAATGAGATGACTTGAAGACCAATCCCATCCAAAATCCAAGTTAAAACCACCTTAGACTTTGCAAAATCGTTGGCCACTGCTCGAGCCATGAAAATCGCTAGAGACTGCTTCCAAATGAGATCTCAGTTTTTTAATAGATTGGGTGTCTGCTTCCACTTGAGATCTCAGTTTTTTAATAGATGGAAACAAAGTTGATTGAAAACTCACAATTTTCATACAATGGAAGATTTTTTCTTTCAAGCTTGTCCCTTAGCTATCCTTCAAGTCAAAAGTTTTCCTATAAAAAATTGGATATGTTGTGGCTAAGATTTTTCTTTATACTTTTGTTTGGATTTGACTTGCTTTCATATGTATTTTTGCTTCTATGATTTTGTTAAGCAGTCAAGTCACACAAGGAGGGTTCTTTCCATTCTAGTTGCTCCCAATATGTATTATAATTTCTTCTATGATTTTGCTACGCAGACACAAAGGAGGAATAAAATGATTGATATTTGCTCCCAATAGGTATTGTTTCTTCAATTGTGATTTTGAAGGTTGGAGCTAGTCCTCCTAGGCATTTGTACATCAACTTCTCAGCACACCAAAATCCCATCCAATCAATTTCCATTTGATTCAAATTCTTGTTAGCCCTCCAACACATAGGAGAATATAATGATTGATGTTGGCCCTCCAATACTACTAAATCAATGACAGCCTAAGTTTTCTAATCCAAGATTAAATAGTCTGAGAATTCAACATGACCAGCCTTAAGACAACCAACTTTATTTTGTTCATGTTGTATCTCAAGGGGGAATAATGAAGGAGAATTTTCCTCTTCCTGGTAGATAAAATCCAGAACGAGACACAAGGAGAAATCCCGGGCAAAAATTACATAAGAGGAGACACGCGCGGTATGGAGATACGTTAAATAGTTATTTTTAAATATATTTATTATATGAAGATGAGTTTAAAAAGTTTAAGGAATAACAAATTTTATTAAAAAAATAACAAATAAATAATAAATAAAAATTATAAACATTATTTTAGACATAAAATAAATTATATTATATATTATAAAATAAATTATTTTAATTTTAGACACAAAAGTTATGTTATTTACGATATATTATATTATATAATATTTTTTTGAATAAATAATATTATATAATATGAATAATATTATATTAATATAATTTATATTATACATAATTCAAATTATATTAAAAAGAAAAGTCAGAGACCTATAGAAATAAAAATTGTGTTAGCTTCGCAGAGACAACGGAAGAGGAAGACCTAGAAAATTGGTTGGTAGGGCAATGACTTCGCAGAGACGACGGAAGGGGAAGACGATGAAGAGAGTCCGAGATCGAGTTCAAATGGGAAGACGACGAAGCACAGTACATCGACTTCGCAGATCAAGCTTCGCAGATCGATCAACTTCACAGATCGATCGATGCTCTGCAACCGATTGAAGTCGAAGGCCAGGTTCTCTCCTTGCTCTCTTCTCTTTCGATTCTTCTGCCGTATCCGTTTCTAAGGAGCCGTATCCCGGCCGTATCCCGCACCCGTACCCGTGTCGTGTCGTGTCGACACAGGTACCTTCTAAATTCCAAAGAGTCCGTGTAACATAGGTAGAGGGACAGAAATTTGAGACAACAGAAGATGGGCAACCCACAAACACTCATCCACAGGAGCCGAAATACATAAAGAGAGGCTAGGACAACCCTCACAAGGGTCGACTAGGCCAGAGGAGCCTTCGGCTGAAGTCGAAACAGCTCTGTGGGACCTTGGCTGGTTCCCACAGACTCAGAGGCAACAAAAGATGGGCAACCCACAAACACTCATCCACAGGAGCCAAAATACATAAAGAGAGGCTAGGACAACCCTCACAAGGGTCGACTAGGCCAGAGGGGCATTCGGCTGAAGTCGAAACAGCTCTATGGGACCTTGGCTAGTTCCGACAGAGACTCAGGGACCAGCGATACAGGATGGGTGGTGATAGGTGATGGCTGGTTGGTGGTAGCGGCTGTGTCAATTAATATGTATATATGTAAATATATAGCACATATTATGTATGTAAAATTACTAACCCCGTCAATTGTGTCAATTAATATGTATATATGTAAATATATAGCACATATTATGTATGTAAAATTACTAACCCCGTCAATTGTGTCAATTAATATGTATATATGTAAATATATAGCACATATTATGTATGTAAAATTACTAACCCCGTCAATTGTGTCAATTAATATGTATATATGTAAATATATAGCACATATTATGTATGTAAAATTACTAACCCCGTCAATTGTGTCAATTAATATGTATATATGTAAATATATAGCACATATTATGTATGTAAAATTACTAACCCCGTCAATTGTGTCAATTAATATGTATATATGTAAATATATAGCACATATTATGTATGTAAAATTACTAACCCCGTCAATTGTGTCAATTAATATGTATATATGTAAATATATAGCACATATTATGTATGTAAAATTACTAACCCCGTCAATTGTGTCAATTAATATGTATATATGTAAATATATAGCACATATTATGTATGTAAAATTACTAACCCCGTCAATTGTGTCAATTAATATGTATATATGTAAATATATAGCACATATTATGTATGTAAAATTACTAACCCCGTCAATTGTGTCAATTAATATGTATATATGTAAATATATAGCACATATTATGTATGTAAAATTACTAACCCCGTCAATTGTGTCAATTAATATGTATATATGTAAATATATAGCACATATTATGTATGTAAAATTACTAACCCCGTCAATTGTGTCAATTAATATGTATATATGTAAATATATAGCACATATTATGTATGTAAAATTACTAACCCCGTCAATTGTGTCAATTAATATGTATATATGTAAATATATAGCACATATTATGTATGTAAAATTACTAACCCCGTCAATTGTGTCAATTAATATGTATATATGTAAATATATAGCACATATTATGTATGTAAAATTACTAACCCCGTCAATTGTGTCAATTAATATGTATATATGTAAATATATAGCACATATTATGTATGTAAAATTACTAACCCCGTCAATTGTGTCAATTAATATGTATATATGTAAATATATAGCACATATTATGTATGTAAAATTACTAACCCCGTCAATTGTGTCAATTAATATGTATATATGTAAATATATAGCACATATTATGTATGTAAAATTACTAACCCCGTCAATTGTGTCAATTAATATGTATATATGTAAATATATAGCACATATTATGTATGTAAAATTACTAACCCCGTCAATTGTGTCAATTAATATGTATATATGTAAATATATAGCACATATTATGTATGTAAAATTACTAACCCCGTCAATTGTGTCAATTAATATGTATATATGTAAATATATAGCACATATTATGTATGTAAAATTACTAACCCCGTCAATTGTGTCAATTAATATGTATATATGTAAATATATAGCACATATTATGTATGTAAAATTACTAACCCCGTCAATTGTGTCAATTAATATGTATATATGTAAATATATAGCACATATTATGTATGTAAAATTACTAACCCCGTCAATTGTGTCAATTAATATGTATATATGTAAATATATAGCACATATTATGTATGTAAAATTACTAACCCCGTCAATTGTGTCAATTAATATGTATATATGTAAATATATAGCACATATTATGTATGTAAAATTACTAACCCCGTCAATTGTGTCAATTAATATGTATATATGTAAATATATAGCACATATTATGTATGTAAAATTACTAACCCCGTCAATTGTGTCAATTAATATGTATATATGTAAATATATAGCACATATTATGTATGTAAAATTACTAACCCCGTCAATTGTGTCAATTAATATGTATATATGTAAATATATAGCACATATTATGTATGTAAAATTACTAACCCCGTCAATTGTGTCAATTAATATGTATATATGTAAATATATAGCACATATTATGTATGTAAAATTACTAACCCCGTCAATTGTGTCAATTAATATGTATATATGTAAATATATAGCACATATTATGTATGTAAAATTACTAACCCCGTCAATTGTGTCAATTAATATGTATATATGTAAATATATAGCACATATTATGTATGTAAAATTACTAACCCCGTCAATTGTGTCAATTAATATGTATATATGTAAATATATAGCACATATTATGTATGTAAAATTACTAACCCCGTCAATTGTGTCAATTAATATGTATATATGTAAATATATAGCACATATTATGTATGTAAAATTACTAACCCCGTCAATTGTGTCAATTAATATGTATATATGTAAATATATAGCACATATTATGTATGTAAAATTACTAACCCCGTCAATTGTGTCAATTAATATGTATATATGTAAATATATAGCACATATTATGTATGTAAAATTACTAACCCCGTCAATTGTGTCAATTAATATGTATATATGTAAATATATAGCACATATTATGTATGTAAAATTACTAACCCCGTCAATTGTGTCAATTAATATGTATATATGTAAATATATAGCACATATTATGTATGTAAAATTACTAACCCCGTCAATTGTGTCAATTAATATGTATATATGTAAATATATAGCACATATTATGTATGTAAAATTACTAACCCCGTCAATTGTGTCAATTAATATGTATATATGTAAATATATAGCACATATTATGTATGTAAAATTACTAACCCCGTCAATTGTGTCAATTAATATGTATATATGTAAATATATAGCACATATTATGTATGTAAAATTACTAACCTTGCCAATTGTGGCGAAAATGGACATGTTCCGTGACCTCCCAATCCCCAGCCGCCGAATCAGCGCAGACGACATCCGGGTCGGGTGGATGCCGCCACAGCAGGAAGAAGCGATTTCCTCCCAATCGTTCTTTTAAATTTTTTTTCCCCTAAACGTCTCTCTCTCCCCTCCCCCGTTCCCCCCCTCTCTCTCCCCCTCTCTGTTTCTCTCTCTAGGGTTTCCCTGCCCTCCCATGGCTTCTCACCTCTCTTCTCTGTGCAGGTTTCTCTTCAAATCTCTCTTTCTTCGAAGCCGTTTTGGGAATCTTCAACGTTTATGGAGTGATAGACATGGTGAATTCACATAATTTGACGGGGGACGATGATGGATCTATCGTTGGGGAGAAGAGAACGGAGAGGACGTTGAATTGGGGGTTCCGTTGCCGAAGAAGGCGAGGAATGGAGGCGGATTGGTTGGGAATGTGAAGAAAGTGGAGGAGGAGGAGGGGTTCTCACTGTCGATTCGAGAGAGAGAGAGAGAAACCCTAACCAAAACTTTTCAGAGAGCGATAGTGGGTTCGGGATGTGAGCTTAATCGCAAATGAGGAGAGAGGAGGATAAAAAGATATAGCCGTTGTTGGGTACCAAAAACACACCTCAAAATTTTAATAAAAATTCCGATAACCAAATTCTTTTGAAATTGTAATTCGAATAAAAAAATTCAAAATTCTTTTCCAATTGTGTAATCAAACACACAACTCAAAATTTAATTTAAAATTTTTTTCAAAACTCGTAACTAAATTCTTTTTAAAATTTTATTTAAAGAAAAATTTAAAAAGATATTTTTTTATTTGATGTTTTAAAATAATGATTTTATTTTTTAAAATATTTAAATTTTTTTTTAATTTCAAAAAAATTTGGATGGCCATATATATATATCTAAACCATAACAAATTATTTGGCCAATACTTAAAAAAATAAGGGCAAATTACGAACACCCATCGAGGGTTGGTGAAAATACAGATTCCCCCTGAGGTTTGAGAAATTACATCCCGCCCCCTAAGATTTATATTTCCATAACAAATTACCCCCTGAAGTTTTTATTTCATACAGATTTTCTCTTAATTTGTTATGCAAATTTGACCTTCAGGGGGCAATTTGTAATTTCTCAAACCTTAGTGGAATCTATATTTTCACCAAATCTCGAGGGGTGTTTGTAATTTGCCCAAAAAATAACAAAAAATATTTTTCAATAAAATATAAAAATAAAAAAATATATATTTTGATTAAAAAGTTTTTGAATTGAATTTTGAGTTTTGAGTTATATGTCTGGTTATGAGTTTTTGAATTGAGTTTAGAGTTATGTGTTTGCTTATGATTTGAGTGTGGAGTTGTGTTTTGAATTTAAAAATTTTACAAAAATGAAATAAAATATTTAAAATGAAAAATAAATTTTTCTTAAAACGTTTTTAAATATTTAAAAGAAATAAATTCGAAAATTTTCAAAATACAACTCAAAATTCAAAAATTTAAAACTCAAAATACAACTTAAAACTCTTTTCAAAACTCAAAATTCTTTTCAAAATTCAAAATTCAAAAAATCAAAAATATTTTCAAAACTCATAACTAAATAAATTTTTATTTTTTTTAAACTGAACTCACAACTCCACACTTAAAATCACAATTTCACACTTAAATCATAATTATAAAATTAAACTAAATGGATTTTACCTTTAACTCTTACACTCACTAATATGCCTTGCACGTACTCTCTCTCTCTCTCTCTCTCTCTCTCTCGTAATGTGGGTTAAACAATGTATAAACCAAACTAAAAAGAGAACTGCAATGCAATACCACTTTCAAATTAAACAAAGATCATTTCAAAAGATAGAGACATCTAATATGGTGAATCATTCAAAACTAGAGTCATCATGTACATCATGTACTAAACAAGCTCTTAAATAATAATTAAAGAGCCAAGACATAGATAAAAGATATTTGCCAGAAGGGTCATGACCCCTCATAATCTTCTCCTAGTTCTATCCCAGCACACGTACACTCACCTCATTCTTTGAATAAAAATAAAAATAAAAAATAAAAATTATCTTTATATTTTTAAATTTATTTTATTTTATTAAAATATATTTAATATTTAATATACAAATTCTATTTTTATAAAATTGATATTGTTCTAAAAATATATTTAAAATTTTAAAATGCAACTAATATTTCACATATTTAATAAAAATTTAAATTAATAATCTAAAATATATAAAAATTTATAGAATTAAAATAATTTGTATGACTTAAGTTAATATTGATAATAAATTACTTTTCTAATTAATATATATATATATATATATATATATATATATTGGTAGGAGAAAACGTTTAGAATAATACAATTGTAAATAAAAATATATTAATTCAAACCACGCAAATAATAACTCAAACCGAAATAATAATATAAAAAAAAAAATAGTGGCCATGTTTGATCTCACACACAAAGTAAGATTTGTCCCCACACAAACTAAACTTACACTTCACATAGACTAGACTTGTATCCCTACACATATTAGACTTGCACCCCACACCCTACATACATTAAACTCGTGTCTTACATAAATTAGACTTGCATCCCTACATAGATTCAACTTGCACCCCTCACAAATTAAACTTGCACTTCACACTAACTAAACTTTCACCTTCACAACTAACTAAACATAGTAAGAAAAATGCACAAGCGGGATGCTAAAGCACAAAAACTTGCATATTTACCGACATCCTGCAAATAATTATAAAATAAAATTAACAAAACATACATGAACCTATATACAAGATCTTATATACAAGATCCTAATGCAATTCATTCATGAAATTCAACTAAAGATCCGACTTCTAAAATATATGACATATGAATCATCTCAAGACATGAGATAGCGCACAAAATCACATAGCAAGATTAAACTCATATATGCAAATTTAGCCAGATCTTAAGGTATAAAACATGGATGCAAAGCATGGATATGATAACAAGCTTGATATACTACATATGTACAGATAGGGAAAGCAAATAAAAGAACGTGATAGAAAGAAGTGGGAGTAGGGAATTATTACAACGCTTTGAATATTACAAATAAGATTTGGGGGGAAGAGCAACAAAAATGTTACAGCAAAATATCCTCACAACTCTCTCTAACTAAAATAAAAGAAAAATAGGAGCTTCAGGGGGCCTCTGAGACCATCGGAGACTGTTTTTCTTGACATCGGGAGGCTGTTGGGTTTTGTCTAGAAGAGGTGGCTAGCCGACCAAAAGTTAGTCGGCCGGCCAATCAGATCAGGACAAAAACTCTATTTTGTTCAAACACCAGAAAAAACAAATGAAAAATATGCAAGTGGCTCAACTAACCACTTCCAGTTAACTTACAACAGGTTTATAACATGAAGTTGAAGCAAGAAAAACAATATAAGAAAGAAAATGTAAGAAAGTAAAGAAAATGAAAATTATGTAAAATTTACCTTCCAAAGAAGAATTTGATTTCCAAACTTCCTTTTCAAGTTTATGAAGTGTGTTCTCAATTCTCAGTTCGAAAATTTGAAATTCTAGTTAGAATGGTATTTTTGGGTTGTTTAACAGTGTGTGTGTGTGGGGAGTTATATAACTTTCTGTTTTTCTCAATTTCAACAACACTCACTCTCTTTTCGATTAATGCTCAAGAATATGTCTCTTACAGAATTTCTGGGCTAGTTTTGATATATGGAAAATGGTATATCAGTGTATGGAAGCTTATAGCTCAAATGTTGAAGACTTCTCTCTTTCTCTCTATATATCTCTCTTTTTCTCTTAATTCATTCCTCTTCCCTTTCATTCATTCCTTTGTTCCTCCATATAGCCAATGATGGAAGGCCAAGTCAAGGAAGTGGGAGACAAGGTGAGAGACAAGTATAATGGGGTGACAAGGGTGGTTGTATTGGATGCTCTCTTTTGCGAAGAAGACAATCACCCTTTGACAATAGAGGCCAAATGAGGATAATAGAGGGAGTGGGTGTGTACATCGTGCATGAATGTATCAACAAAAGATCTAAAATGGCATGACCTATACGCTTTCAACAAGAATTTTGTCGAAATTGCCCTACTCCTGGGCAAATTAGCCGATTGGCCAAAAAACCTTGGCTGGCTGGCAAACTAATTGGCTGGCCGGCCAAAAAAGTTAGCTGTGGTTGACTATTTTGCACGAAACAAGATTTTTCAACAGAGTTATCATCATTTCCTCCTATTTCTACACTGTTCTTTACTCGTTTTCCTCATAAAAAAGTTTCATTTTGAAGTTTAAAAGTGAGCCTCGAAATACTACGAAAATATTCGGAACAAAGAGCGGAAAGAAGGTTTCGAATGAGAGTTTTGAACAAGACTTAAACACTTAGGCCAAAATAGACTTAGGGTTGGAACTAAAACATAAAGTAGGTGTCATTGGGCCTAGGCTTCGGGGAGGGTTGAGTCAGAAAAACATGGTCCAAGCTTTAATCCGAAAGGGTTGGGCTGGACTGGGCCTCGGGCCTAGTCAGGCCAGTTTTGCAATATAAATATATACTATACCTAGATCATAAACAAGACTGACTGTTGGGATACTGTTGGAAGTGTCTTTTGAAGTCAAAGGGTTTTGCAAGTGAAAAATGACCAACACCCACACTTCTTCTCCATGGAGCTCTCACTACTTCTACTTTTCATGGGTTGTGAGCCTCATAGAATAGAATCACCCAACCTTTATAGGGAGGACGGGTACCTGTGAGTATAGCAAGATTTGCTATCGGGCCAAACAGTGATGCTTTGGTGTACTTTTCAAGATATTTATTTATTTATTTATTTGGATTTTTGGCCGCTTTGGGCTAAAAATACGTAACATTTACTATAAAAATAAATATTATATTTCGCAAAAATACATGACAAAAACGTATATGGTACACACCTTTTAGCATTTACCCTAACAACTTTTGCATGTGATGTCTCAGTCAATTCATAACCTTTTTAGACTATTATGTAGAAAAGGTAAAGAGGAGAAATAGAATTTAGTAGTAGGTAACTAACATGAAATATTGTGGGTTAATATATATGTATATATATTTTACTATTATGTCATTTCAATAATAAAGAGAGGCTATGATAGTTAAATGTTTATTTTCTTTATACATTATCATAGTTGTACATTATAAAGAAAGGATTTTATATATAAATGTAAATAAAAAATGACTTAGACCTCCAGTGGGGGTGACCCCCACCACCCCCACTGGTTTTTGATTGGCTCAAAAAAAATTTATTTTTTATTTTTTGTTCTCCACTCTTTGACCCCCACGTGTATGTGGAGGTGATAGGGTCACCCCCATGTGGGGGTCTTTAGCACTGTTGAAATGTAAATAGATATTTATATGATGTAATCAAAGGCTCCTTAGAAATAGATATACAAATAAGGAACCTTTAGTAGGGGTTTAAAATCATCCTAGCCAGGCCCATTTGACCTGGCCCTACTTGGGCTCTTGCAAAAAATTAGGCAGATTGAGTCGGTCTAGTTCGTAAAAATCTAGGCCTAGGTCAAATCCCATGCCCAGGTGTAATCGGGCTTCAGGCCTGGGCATAGGCTTGTGTTCGGCCTGATTTATTTATTTAGTTATTTTCACCAAAATAGCTTCCAGCTGTCATTGGGTGTCAAGCAGCTCGGGCTTCGGGCTAAGTAGGGCTAGAAAAAACATGGCCCAAGCCCTAGCCTGGGGGGGTTAGGCCTTGAGCCTGGTCGGGTTGGGTCTCAGGCAGGCATGCATCTTTTTGCAACATATATAGTATGTATGTGTATATATTATATATGATACATGGATGATAAACAAGACTAGCTGTTGGGATGGTGTTGGCAGTGTCATTGGAAGCTAGAGGGTTTGGAAATGAAAAATGATCAACACCCGCACTTCTTCTCCATGGAGCTCCCATTAGTTCTGCTTTTCATGGGTGCATACCTCATAGAATAGAATCTCCCAAACTTTTAGGAAGAAGGGGTACCTACTGAGCACAATCGAATTTGTTATGGGGCCAAACAGTATGGCTTTGGTGCTCTTTAAGCCCATTTGGTGCTTTTTAAACCCCATTTTATTTTTGGCCACTTTGAGGCAAAAAATATATAATATTTGTCATAAAAATATGTAATATATATATCACAAAAATATATAACAAAAGCGCATATGGTCTACATATTTTAGCATTACCCTAACAGCATTTGCATGTGATGTCTCTTGTTATTCATAGCCCTTTCAGACCGTCATGTAGAAAAGATAAAGAGAAAGAAGAAAATTTAGAAGTGGACAACTAACATGAGATATCGTGGATTAATATATATATATTTCACTATTGCGTTATTTCAATAAAAAAAAGACGATGATAGTTAATTTTTTTTATACATTACATAGTTGTACCTTATAAAGAATGACTTTTATGTATAAATTGAAATAGATATTTATATGATGTAATCAAAAGCTTCTTAGAAATAGATATACAGATAACGACCCTTTGCTAGGGGTGTAAAATCGGCCTGGCTTGGCCACTTATATCCATGACTTTTTTTTTTTTTGGATCTATGATAAACAAGTTACAAATAACATTATTATTATTATTTTTTATTTTTCTTGAAGTTAATCGTAAAAATTTATGTGAAATATTTTTGTAAAAGTTTTTAATGTAATAATTAATAAGTGTCTTTCTGATTTAATTTCTTGAGTCCGCCCTCATATGCCAGATCACTTAAAGCCTATTTGGACC